CTTTATTTATTTATCAGCACAAATTAAATATATATATTTAATTTATATATATCTTATCTTTCAAATTTCATACATACCCCATTTGTTACCAACTAATACCGGACATGCGGCGTGCCGGGTACTGTAGTCACCTTCCCCGCTTGGGAAAAGATTGTACCAAAATACCGCTGTCCCCTAGTAAAACATAAAGTAACAGCAAGTTATTTTGGGGGATTAACTTTTGAAAAATGCAATACTAAAGAGGAAATATTGCAAATGTAAATATTCTCCAAGTGCCGGAGAGGATGTGGCAAAGCACACTCCATCACCCCTGCGTTGGTTTCTAATATTTCTCAAATGCTACATTTCAGAGGATGAGCAAGATATAGGGAGTTCTCAGTTAACAACAATAATTGGAATGGGAATTTCCTTCGCTAAGTGATGAGATGCAACATCATGTGACAGAACTGCTTAGCGCCGTTGTTAAACGAATCCCACCCAGACATTAGTTGAGGATCCACCAAGACCACTTCCACTCACCCTGCCAGGACAAACTACTAGGGTATAAAAAGAGAGCAAACCCCATTCCCAACCAGCACTGATGAGGTTACCTAGTTTGATAGTGAAATGTCTGCAAGAAAGCAACCAGGTTCAGAGGATCAAGGACCTCTCATTTCAACCCTGAGCTACAAATATTCTCCTCTATGAGGATCAACGCCAATACAAGCCATTCCTGGTTTGGTCCATCCCAGCTGTGAGGCTCAATAAGGCAAGAATCTGCCATCATTTCAACTCCTCTGACCCACTGTATCTTCCACCCCCTCCACCGCTCCCCTTTTGGCCATCCTGAACTCCACTGTCTCTGACACCACCACTGCTCCAGGTGATCTTCACTGTCTTCTTCCTCATGTTCTGGCCGAGGCTTCCCAAGAGTATGAAGCAAACTCCTGGTCCCAACAAAAAATCATTTTTTATTAATTTACTGTGAATTCTGCTCATTCACATCCAGCAAAGTCTTTCAAGGGGGAATTTACAGTCACAGACCTTATCTGGCTTGGAGAGCTNCCCCACTTGGAACTGAACCCAGAAGGACATTTCTTCCAACAATACCAACTTGGCACCAACATTAGGGCTGCTTGTGCATGGCATATTTGATTATGGTTTCTATAATTCCCCCCCCCTCTTTCTGGGACCACACAAAACCCTGGTCCATATATTAGCTAATCAAACTGGGATTCTATTGCATGTTAGATTAAAATGTGGCTAGGTGGCTCGTGGTTCAATGTGACATCAGAAACCCCAACTATAAAATATAAGAGGTTGAGGGATTCACGGCAAACCAGTGGAATTTATTTGGTTTCGCCTACCATGGTCTGCAAACCACTTCTTGGTTCAATACAAATAGTCCTGACTTATGACAATTGGGGCCAGAATTTCTGTTGCTAAGCAAGGCAGTTGTTACATGAGTTATTCCCGATTTTACAACCTTTTCTGCCACAACTGTTAAGTGAATCACTGCAGCTGTTAAGTAAATCACATGGTCATTAAGCATCTCCAGATTCCACCCACATTAAGGTTTAATGAAACTAATGATCCTAATTTGAGTCTCAGTGCAAACGTATTTTCTGTAAGCATTGCTAATTTTAAAATTACCTATGCTGGACAAAATTATTTTTCTTTATTTCTTTTCAACCATTTTTTAAAAAAAATTTAAACTTGCCTGCTTTCCTGGAAGTAAAAAACAAAAGAAAACTTTACTGCTTTTCATCTAAATTATTGCATTTAATGAAACTAAACAGGCACTAGAGGGCAGAATAGTCTTTTTAAAAAGAATGACAGAATGGATGAAGAAAAAATCTTTTCTTTAATAAGTAGAAAAATCATGTTTATTTTATTGTTGCCCATCCTTCCATTCTATCTTTGAAAGGCTACAAGGAAAAACACCATTAAAATATCCTTAAAATTACTTTCCACCTTTCTCTTTTTTCACATTACAAAAGATCATGGAAACAAAACAGCTGAAGTCCGAAAGGTGCTTTTTCAAAGGACAACTGGACTTCGGTTTTTCCTTGAAGATGTTTTACTTCTCATCCAAGAAGCTTCTTCAGTTCAGAACTGAAGAAGCTTCTTGGAGAAGAAGTGAAAGGACTTCAAGGTTAAACAAAGTCCAGTTGCCTTTTGAAAAAAGGACTTTAGGGACAACCATGACCTGGAAGACTGAGAATCTCCATAGATAAACAACTCAAGGCCATCTATTCTCACCTTGCGAGGCAAACTAACTTCAGTGCCAAACTTCCTTAAAGAGGACTTGATGAGCTGAAGACCCTCTTCTGAAGACAGTACAACCCAGGGAGATGCCAAGAGGGGAAAGCAGACTGGGTTTGTCAAATGACCAGGTCCTGAGTCATACAGGGCTCCATATGTCATAACAATCTCTTTGCTTTTTACCTAGTAACAGACCAGTAGCCAGGGTACTTGTCTGAACAATCAAACTCCCCTGTTCCATATAACCAGCCTGTGTGTCCTGATACGTGGCATTCTGGAGCATCTGAAACTATGTACAAGAAGTGTGTTCTAATACCACTGTAGGAAGTTAGCACCCACCCATCTCCTAGAAAAACGAAAAATTCTAGGAAATATTAAAAAGGCAGAATATTATATTCCCCTGGATGAGAAATGGAGTTACGTGTATTTTAGGCAGGAAACAGATTCACTCTTAATAGCAGTAGCAGTTAGACTTATATACCGCTTCATAGGGCTTTCAGCCCTCTCTAAGCGGTTTACAGAGTCAGCATATTGCCCCCAACAATCCGGGTCCTCATTTTACCCACCTCGGAAGGATGGAAGACTGAGTCAACCCTGAGCCGGTGAGATTTGAACAGCCGAACTGCAGAACTGCAGTTAGCTGAAGTAGCCTGCAGTGCTGCATTTAACCACTGCTCCACCTCGGCTCTTAGCCCCCATCCTCCTCAATAGCCCACAGCAGATGTTCCCACTTAAGAGATTAAGAGATAAAGAGATAGCTAGGTCTATTCATAGGCAAATGCCCTCACCCAAGATCCAAGGAAGGTTGGATTAGCCCTCTACTCATCTCATCACATGGCACCTGGGAAGATTACACCACCCAGCAAGGCTCAACCAAGCCTGGGACTCAGGACAACCGACAGAGTTGCTCCTGCATGGCCTCATGGGAGTCTGACAACCAATCAGAATACCAGCTGAAATTCAAAAACTCAGAAAGGGTATAAAACTCAGGAACTCTCAGCATCTGTCCCCTTTTTTTACTTCACCCAACATCTTCAAGGCATGTGATCCTGTCCACCATTAAAACCATCTTTCCAAACAGCCACTAGGTTTCCAGTGTCCTTCTCCCCACTTGGAACTGAACCCAGAAGGACATTTCTTCCAACGCCACAAAGGGATGTCATAAAGATGATTAAGGGACTGGAGGCTAAAACATATGAAGAACAGTTACAGGAACTTGGCACGACTAGTCTAGTGAAGAGAAGGACCAGGGGAGACATGATAGTAATGTTCCAATATTTGAGGGGCTGCCACTGAGAGGAGGAGGTGGGGGGGGGTCAACCTATTTTCCAAAGCACCTGAAGGCCAGACAAGGAATAATGGATGGAAACTGATCAAGGAGAGCTTCAACTTAGAGATAAAGGAGACATTTTTCAGCAGAGAGAGCAATCAACCAATGGAACAGAAGTTGCCTTTGGAAGTTGTGGTTAGTAATTGGTTAGTAATTACATCATTGGTGTTCGGGAGAATATACATGTTTTCTCACACAATGAAAGGATCAAGTGTTATACATTCAAAGCAGCAAATGTTACAGGTTATGCATTGTTTCATCCTCTGTCCTTGCACATGCCTGGGATCACTGCAAGCAAAGAATTGCTGAAGTTTGCAATACGTGTAACCACAGTTACAAGAACCACCCAGATGATGCATTGTAATAATCCTACATTGGGGGCTTCATCGCTGGAAGCTTTCAAGAAGAGACTGGACTGCCATCTGTCAGACATGGTGTAAGATCTCCTGCTTGGGCGGGGGGTTGGACTAGATGACGAAGGGCTCTTCCAACTCTGTTAATCTGCTACATGTCACCATGGCTATCTTTGAGGTCCAATATCTTTTTTTTAATATATTTTAATTTTTAGATCCATCTTATCTTACAACGGTCATGCTTCTTCTTCCCTCCCTCCCTCTTTCCTTCCCTCGTTTCTTCTCTCCTGCTCCCCTTCTTTCCCTCCCTCCTTCCCCTTCCCTCCTTCCTTCCCTCCTTCCTTCCC